AAGAAAGAAAGAAAGAAAGAAAGAAAGAAAGAAAGAAAGAAAGAAAGGAAGGAAGGAAGGAAGGAAGGAAGAAGGGAAGGAAGAAGGGAAGGAAGGAAAGAAGGATGACAGGAAGGAAGAAAGGACAACAGGAAGGAAAGAAGGAAGGAACTAGAATAGAAGTTAGCCTAACTACAATAGAAGAATCCAATGTCACCTCCACTCATCATTAGGAAGACTAGAGTGGAGAAAGACACCAGTACAAATAAATGTAGTACAAAGGAGAGTGATACGAAGTACCTGACAAGTGAAAAGTGCTATGAGAGGTTATTACTATTTTGTAAAAGTAGTATTAGGAAGCAAAATACGTCTCCCGATTATTTGAATGAAGCAAAATGTACAGCATTAGGAGCTCAGGTATTAGAGATGTATTTCAGTAAATGTTCTAGTCAAAGTGATGGCTGTTCATCTGTTCATCCTTAAGAGCTGCAGTGCCTTGTGCTCTCCCCGGCTTGGGCCAGGTACTGCTTGGCCTCAAATGCAAATTTCGTATCTGGGGAGATTGAATCAATAAGGCAAAAAAAATTGTTAATCCTTCTAATAGTACAAATATATAATTGTTAATATAATATAAACATAAATCTAATAAACATAAATACTAAACAAAGTTTATATTTAATATGTATTATTGTAACTATAATAATTGATATATAACACTAAGCAAAGATAGTTTTGCATGCTGTTGTTGGTTTTGGTCATGTCCAACTTTTCGTGACCCTACCTGAGGTTTTCTTGACAAAGGTACTAGAGTGATTTGCCATTTCCTTCTCCAGCTCATTTTACAGATGAGGAAACTGAGCAAACAGGGTAAAGTGACTTACCCAAGGTCACATAGCTAGTAAGCATCTGAGGCCAGATTTGAACTCAGAAAGATGAGTCTTCCTGACTCTAGTCCCAGTACTCTATCCACTGTACCATCTAGCTGGCCAGTTTTACATATTAACATGTATATATTATATTTACATATATATGCAAATAGGCAGAAACATTCAGCAAGGATGTGGAGTTGTGGCTCTCCAAATCCCTGCCCATTTAGATAGACTAAAGTCAGTAGGAATTAAATTTGTCAACTCCAAAGAGCTACTCTCCCTTCTTGATACTGGTTTATATAGAATTCCACCAAAAAAAAAAAGACTTTGAATTGTAAGAGTTTGTGAGGGTGGGCATCTGATTAGACCGATAAATGTGTGTGTGTGTATGTGTGTGTACTCAGCTCATGTGTGACATGGAAAGATATCTGATCTGGGATCTGGCCCACTCCTTTTCAAGGTTCATTGCCTCTGTGGAAAGCAGGGGTAGGGCTGCCCATGGCTGGGTGCATGTTCCTTCCTTCACTTATTTCCAAGAGCTACTGTACATTGGGACATGGGAAAGCCTCCTTGCCATTTTTCCTGATCATTCCCAAGGGGGAGAGTAACGCTTTGCCCCTTTAGCTTCCTTCCACCCCTGATTACACAAAAGACCATCATGACTGGCAGTAAAGAGTAAACAGAAGTCAGGGAAGTTATATAGATTAAAATGACCAAAGACTGTACAAGTGCATAGGTGCTCTTCTGCTGGGAACAAGATAAAATCTCACCTCAAACCAGAAGAGACGACATTCTCACCAAGGAGAAGTCTGCTTATCTGAGGCCGCGTGACTAATACGTGGCAAAGTCAGGATTTGAATCTGGTGCTTTGATTCCAAATCTAGAATTCTTTCTACTGCTGCCATGGTTAATGATTTAGAATCACAGTGCTGAGTAAGGGCAAAGATGACCTGAGGCAGTGCAATAAAGGGCGGTGACAAAGGGTGAGCCGACTTCCTTAAAAGAAGAGGGTTTTTGGTTTGTTTTTTTCAGATCAACATTAAGCTGACAGTACTCAGCACAATTTTTTAAAAGTAACACCTCTTGTTAGCCTACACTGGGACACCTTTGACAACCAGTTTGCAATACTGACTGTGACTATTGATAAAAATCAAACTACTTAAGAGTATGACCTTCCAGATGTTCTGAGAGTAGAACCAGAAGGGACCTTAGAAGAAAGTTAGTCCCTCCTCCTCCTTTTAAAGATGAGGAAAATGAGAACCAGAGAAGTCCAGGGGTGTGCTGGTAAACGTTTAACAATCAGTTCTCTAGAAAATAAAATGTACATATAACACACTATTAAGTTTAATCTGCATTATTAATATTTTTCCATCACTTTCTTAAGTTTCGACAAAAAATAAAACAAATCAAGCCCTTATTAGTAGCTTTCATAGATACCCAAGGTGTAAATGCTCACACTGAACATTTAAGAATTGGCTTTCTCTAATTGGGTTTAAGCTGGCTGAAGCATATGCCTTTAACCACTTCTACAAAGTCACACAGCCAAGATGTGAACCCAGGTCCCTTGAGTACAAAACCTAATGTTTTTTCTGTTGAAACCCATTGTGTTTCGCAAACATTTTGCCTTTTTTTTTTAAACTAATGAATCTGAAGGCCAGAGTCAAAGTTAGACTTTGCTAAAGTGGCACAGCCTTTAGTCAGTTAACCAAGCTAAGAATAGACCCATCTCCTGACTCCCAGTTCCACAATGAAACTACTCCTCCCACAAAAGATGTTAGTAACAATTGACTTAATAGTCAGCTGGCTGCAACTATGACAAGTCAAAATCAAGGGGGAAGAGGGAAGAGGAGAAGAAAAGCTGTAGCTGGGTAGGCACTGTCTTACTTTGTCAGATGTAAACTCAGTGTCCAGCATGGTGCCTGACACATAGTAAGCACTTAAAACATATTTGTTGATTGGTTGATCTAATTCTGAATTTTAATGACCTGCCCTCTGGCCTATGAATCTGTTACATTATTTTTCTTAAGGATTTAAACTAATTCTTGTGGATTTTAAGTTTACTCTCTCTAGCCACA